GAGTATACACTTTTCAGAATTTACGCGCGCTCCCATGACACCCTGGGACCCAAATCGCACAGTTGAGGGGTGGTGCGGGGGGTACGCCAAAGTGTTAATAGTTTTCATAAACTGTATTGCAGTACTCAACATACAGCAGAACTACTTAATCAACACAGTGCTATCAGCATAATACACTACAGTACATATTTACTACTGTACAGCATTCACAACTCCACGAACCTTCAAGATGGACATAACTCCAACAATACGATAAATAACAAATGTAATGCAGTATTTTTAGTAGAGTAGTAATATATAGGTACAGTATGTAATATGATAATGCATTTTTATTGTGTACAAGAAAAAAGAAAAACACTGATGCAAACGGCTCCTGAAGGTCACCTCTTGCAACGAATCCAACGCTCCAACACACTGGGGTTGGTCCCATATAGCACGTTGAATCGAGGTTGTACTGTAACAGCAAAAGGAGTATGTTGGGAGGAGGCATTTTAGTGAGGGAGGTGGTGTTGTCTGCCTGACTTGGCACGCTGTGTAGAGTGGCCACTATGCTGTTTGAGCATCATACCAGCTTAGTTGTACAGTTATGGTGAACAAAACATGTAGATACTTATATATAACATCTGTAAATAGTGATTAAAAGCAAAAACCAGTATGGTGGGAGGAGGAATATGTTGGCGAGTGAGGTATTGAGGGAGGGAAGGTGGCGGTGTTTGCTGGCTGGGTGAGGCAGCCCCCTCGTTGGTGTTTTGACTCACCATACCAATTTAGTGGGTCAGTATGATGAACAAAACGTGCAGATACTTATATATAACCTGTGTATATAGTGTAATATCAGCAAAACTATTTGTTTATTGTTTTTATGAACACAATAATTGAATCACTAATATGCACATCATACTTTTGAGTATAGCAATGATTCACCCCCTTTTATTATATAAATATATCACCCTACACACTATTGAATAATATTACTGAAAAAAAAAAAAAAAATCAACCAGAAACATTGAAATAATTAGGTAATATCTTAGTGGCAACTCCCGCCTGACAGCTCGGGTGGAGCTGACCACCTGCGATGCTTGCTGTGTCAACGCCTACATTTTGCCACACTTCCTCAGTCTATTGCTGCCAAAATATGTTGCCTACAATTTTCTTTTATTTTTCCCGTGATCAGGTAACACAAATGAACATTTTTAGAAAATAAAAAAAAATTTAAATTTTTTTCTTGCGCATGGAAGTGTTAAAGCCTTCAAGGCACCTTAGCAGCTTAACCCTTGTGTTCCTAAGGGCTAATAGACTTTGTCACCCACAAGCGCATAAAAAAAAAAAAATCTTGTGTGTTAATTTGTGTTCCCTGACCACGAGAAAAAAAAATTAATTGTACTTACCAATGACGTAATTGAGCCGACAATATGGGCGATGACGTCACAACCTGCATGTTCGCTCATGCAAGGTGCATCTCAGAGGCGTCGCGCGCGGTCTTCAAGCAGCCATAGTTGCCATGAACTTATTTTCGCTGCATTATTTACAGTGTCTAGGCATATTTTATCACTAATATTATTCACTAATTGTGTTGCATATAATGTTACATCATGGTTTATGGCAATAAATGTTGCATACATCGAGTATACACATGCACACACAAATGTTTTACATTACGCCAATATAATATGCATTCACATTGTTCATTAATATATTTACACACATGCACTCACTATTTATAGGTTTTTGCACTATTATTGCACATTTAGAAGTCTTGGAGAGAGTGGTAGGCATTGAAGCACACATGCACACATGCTTAACACCATGTTTGCACCAGTTTACGTTTCTGATCTCTCCTTTTTTGTTGTTTTACAAACTAAGCAATCAAGTTGGCCTATTGCATGCTTTCTAGCTAGTGGCAAATGTTTTAGTCTGTGTGCTTGAAAGGCCTCCATGTGAGCGAGCCTGTGTGAAGCAGCATGCAGCAACACTGGGTTCATGATGGGTCTATGTATGCCAGGAACATCTTTGCCAAACTTTGGTAATAACTGTGTCCCAAGTGCAAAACCAAACGAACAGAAACTTGGTTTATGTCCAGTTTTCACCAGATACATATTATAGCTGTTCAGCATGCTTATGTCAACAAGATGGAAAAACACTTTTTTCTTGTCCACTTCAATGTTTTCTGCACACACACGACAGTGCCCACCATCAGGTCAGATTTATCAACCAAACGCATGTTGATAGTATAGTCAAGAACACAATCTGGCTTATATACTCGTTCTTGCATTACTCGGTTCACCTTGCCACTGTTCACTATTGTACCATCATGAACGCTTGTCAGCCTGCTCACTTCTCTCTTGTCTTTCCACCTAACAGTATTTGATCACATTTTCTTAGCTGGCAGTCACCAACTTCAAGTTTATTGTCAAACACTGGCATTTCCCTTCTTTCTGGCTTTACTGTGCCAACCTTATCTTGAGATGTTGAGATGATTTCGGGGCTTTAGTGTCCCCGGTCCTCGACCAGGCCTCCACCCCCAGGAAGCAGCCCGTGACAGCTGACTAACACCCAGGTACCTATTTTACTGCTAGGTAACAGGGGCATAGGGTGAAAGAAACTCTGCCCATTGTTTCTCGCCAGCGCCCGGGATCGAACCCAGGAGCACAGGATCACAAGTCCAGCGTGCTGTCCGCTCAGCCGACCGGCTCCCTAATCCGGTTCTATTTTCAATCAAGAACCTAGCTAGCAAGGGACTTGTATAATAGTTATCCATGTATAAAATGCGGCCCTTGTTCATCCATGGTGCCATCAGTGACTTCACCACACTACCTGAGAAACCATGTTGGTCGTTACTGGGAATGTCTTAAATTGCTAGCAGAATACAGAATCATGTATAACAGGTATCCTGTTTCACAGTCACAAAGAACACAGAATTTCAATCCAAATCTGTTTTGTTTGGAGGGAATATATTGCATGAAGGCAACACGTCCTTTGAATAGCACAAGGGATTTGTCAATCACCAGCTTCTGTACTGGTACGTAAAAATCTCTGAACTTTCCAATCACTGCATTCATATAGTGCCAGACTCACCAAAGTCTATCATCCTCTGTCCGGTCCTCATTACTTGCAAAATGAAGACACCTGAGGAGTATCTGAAACCTGTCTCGAGATATATATTTCCCGAAGAAAGGTATTGGAATAGTCTAGTCTTTGCTCCAATAATCTGTGATAGCGTGTTTGACACGATGCTTCATCAACATACATACAGTATTGCTAAAAATACATACATTTCACCTACAGTGGTGTTTTTCCAACGCTGCAATCGTGAATACTCTTATTTCTTTTTCCAATGAGATGAGTTGCATGAAGGTTCGTTTGGTGTACAATATATTCCATGAGCGGCTCATAGAATGCTGTAAAATAATCCAATTCACACATGTCCTCTCCATTATCAAGGAAAAGCTCTGTAATCCCAACGTCTTTATTGTCAAAGGCAAGAATTAGAGGAATAAAATCGTCACCATCACTCTACACAAGTATACCTGGTGTCCTGCGAGAGACAACAGGGGCACAACGGCGAAGAAGCGATGCACACCGTGGACCAGGAGCTGAAGCCCGTTTATGCAAAGTTTGGCCGCTACATGAACGTAGGGTGAAAGCACATGAACATGCGGGTCTTGGTTCCTCATGTGGTGCCATGCGGTGGAGCTTGGCTGGGCGAGACACTGCTGACGTGACAAATCCTCGCCCGGTAACACCACTGGTACTAGCAACAGATGTGGTAACACTATGCTTTGATTTCACTTCCCATTTTCACTGTCTGTGCTACTATCATCGGTCAATTGTGTGTAGTCCTTATCATTGTCAGTCATTAAAATCACTTTCCTTACCATCAGAAAATAATTCACTGGTTATTTGCTCTTGGGCAAGTAATTGCGTGGTGCATGCCCGGGAGGCGTTCGGCCGTGCGTTCGCCATAGTGACCGCTACGTAACTGGGGCCTCCCACGCGTTGGTAGCGTGAGCTGGATTTTTTTACAAAATGGCGGCTGATTACTATAGCCCCTGGGCAGTGTATGAGGGCCCCTTCTACCCCGCTGGCCATTCAAATCTTGCATGGTACTCTATCACGTCATATGACATGATGCTCAATTTACAGCAAGTTACTCAACACATGACGTGTTGCACAGTTTAAGGGTTAGTGGTTAAGAGACGAGTTCCATTTCTTGTCTAAATATTTATTTTAAATGGATAGTGGCAGCTCTACACTCTTCTCTTTATCTCCTACTAATCCTTTCATTTCATCCTTAAAACTATCTTACAATCTATTTTTTTCATTCCTAATTCGTCCTCAAACTTTACCTTTCCACTAAATATATTTCCTCCTCTCTTCCTTCCTCTTTCCTTCCTTCCTTCCTCCCTCCCTCCCTCCTCTTCCTTACTCTTCCTTCCATTCATTTAATTCATTTGTTCTATTTATTCCAATCCCTCCCCTTTCCCCTTCGTAACAATGTTACATCGTGTCTCGTGAACAGGGTGCGAAGTTTGCACTTTGACACAATGAGGCAAAGGTCAGTCCAGCAGTCGGGACCACATATGGCCTTAGTTACTCACGTCCTATCTGTCTATCTTGCTGGTGATGACATAATCAGATGCCAATGCCTAGAACGTGGATGCATCTATGATATCTTCTTGTGGATGAGAAGGTGAAACAGAGAAACCATCAATAGGTATAATTAGCAAGATTCATTAATTTGTTTCCAAGTAAATTGTAGTTAGCCAAATCACCACCACCACCACTTCTCACTTGCATAGGGTGGTGACTGGTGAGACAAACTTTGTCTGTTTCTTTCTTAATAAATAAAATAAATGACATCAGTCATACTATATTTCTTACATTAAATAAGACATTTTAACCTCACAAAACCCCAATATAAGCGCACACATTTCAGCAGTCATTAGCAACATCAAAAATTTGTAATAAATATTGTTAATTAACAGAAGCTAATTACATACCTGTATCTGGGTAAGCTTTATGGTGAACACAGCATGAGATCGTGAGGATTTTTCATTCACTCCAGTTGCAGCTATGGAGCGCTCTTTATTTCCCAACAATAGCCATGTCTGATAAGAGTTTAAGGGAAACTTTAGAACACTGTATATTTAAAAAGGAAGTCCGAATTTTTCCATCAATAAAATATAAAAAATCTTGATACAGCATCATTAAAAAATTAAATCCGTTTTTAGATGTTAGAAAACCAGCGTTGAATGGGATGAAACGCCATTTTCTGGGCGAGTCCCAGAGGCTCCCTGGAGCTATCCATGGAGGATATGGATACCCTAACTATTGCATCAGTCGATGTGGGTGGAGTTCTATGCCTACCGGAGGACCACTAGCCTGAAACTTGCCCCCTTACAGAAGCATGAGGACCAATGGCCCAAAGAATGCACATGTGATTTGGAGCATTCTATATCTGCCATCAACTGGGACAGGCACCCAGAAAGGTAAGCGCCACACAACAAACCCCTATTCTGGTTAACAACGAAAATCGTCAAACGAGTAGACAGAACTCCCCAAAAGAAAAACGAGCAAACAAGCATGACGTCACACGAGCCGCATCGCATGTCTGTGCAGCTCCCTTCTCCCTGTGAGGGGGAGCCCCAGACCCCCTCGCACTGGCGATCCCCACCCCAGTTTTGAGGCTGGATATAAAAAACTGCGAAAAACCGCCGACCCGAGGGAGAGGAGGGTTGCCGGGAAGCCTCCGGGACTTGCCCAGATAGTGGCATTTCATTACATTCAATGCTGGTTTTCTAGGGGAAGCCCCTATGGCTTCCTGGAGCTACTTCACCTAAGATAAAAGAAAAAGGGGACTTACCCGGGAGGCGGTCGGTGCTCCACTCCTCAACTCTAAGTCGAGACATCGGCAGCATCTCCCAACCCAAAGCAGCACAGGCCCGACTGGGCCCAGGAACATTCACGAGGTAGCGTGGAGCCAGGACCCTGTTCGACCACCATAAACCCTGTGCCCGAATATCAGCCCAAGACATATTGCCAAAGACGGCAGCAAGACCAGCAAACTTACGAACGTCATGGGCACGGAGATAGATTGCAGGACCTCATACTGCCGCCGAGAGGAAGCCCGCAGGTGGGAAACCAGCAAGGAAGCCACCTGATCACCATTGAGGTGGAGATAAACACGAGTCAAAATCACCAAACGCGAAGACTCGCAGAGAAGAGCGAACCAGTCTCGTACCAGACCGGGCCGATCTCCTGAAAGAGACGGAGCTGCGGAAAACCTCCGGGTTCGGACACCGGGCAAGCAGCACCTGAAACCAAGGCTGGGGCAGCCACCATGGGGCCAAGAGGTCCACTCGCCCCTGGTAAGTCTTCAAGCATGCCAGGACCTGGAGCAACAGCTGAACCAGGGGAAAGAGGTACAGGAACCCTCACCTCAACCAGTCCTGCTGAAAGGCGTCGATCCCGACAGCCTCACAGTCGGGGAAGGGCGCCACACATACCGGAAGACGCCTCGACCACGTTGACGCGAAGAGGTCCACCTCCAGGCGCCCGAACGTCTGGCAGAGTCAGCTGGATGAGTTGGCATCAACTGTCCATTCTGTGGACAGGGGAATGAACCAGGACAGGCCGTTCCGCCAGGACGTTGGACACCCCCCCCCCCTGGGCGTGAACTGCCCAGGAGAGCCAAACCCCGAGAACTCAGCAGACGAGTCACCCGAAGCGACTAACCCCAAAGAGCCAAGGACCGCATCGAATCCTCCTCGGTTCAGGCAATGAACCACCTGGGAGCAGTCCGAATGGAACCGGATCGTCGATCTGCGAGCAACCCGAACAGTCCGAAGTGCAAACCACATCGCTGCGAACTCCCGCACCGTGTTGTGGGCCCGACGGAAGGACGGTCCCCACCGTCCCTGGCCGGCCTGGTGAACACTGGTCACAAAGTCCTAGCCGAGAGACGACGTGTCCGTGAACACATCGAGCGAAGGCTCGGGAAGGCGCCAAGGCGCAGAACCCCCCAAAAAACAAAGAGGAAGCCGGCGACACGGCAGCCTACACAAGGCCCCCGGGGGACGAACCCAGCGATCGCGAGAGAGGCGGAAGGGACGTCCCCGAAGGAACCAGAACAGCCAATGAAGCCAAACCCGACCCAGTGGGTAGAACATCACAAAGTTCAGGCTCCCGCACAGACCCTCGAGCAACCGCTGGGTGACCCGGCAGCCCCCCAGAAACAAGCACAGGCAAGACCGCAGGCAAAGGAGAGACGCCGGAGGAAGAGACAAGGAAGAGGTCCGAACATGGGAGGGAACCAGATGGGACTTTCTCCAGTTCACCAGGAACCCGAACCCGGCGAGCTGGGAAAACACCAAGTCCCTGGCAAGCAGACATGCGGACCGACTGGGAGCCCAAATCAGCCAGTCGTCGAGGTAAGCCAACACCCAAACACCTAACAGATGCAGACGGGCCACCACAACCCAGGTAAGGTGTGTGAACAGGCGAGGTGCCAGATTCAACCCGAAAGGGAGAGACAACGAAAGCGGTAACCCTGACGTCCCACAACAAAATCAAGCCAATCCCTGAACCCCAGATGAATAGGGACATGCCAATACGCGTCCTTGAGGTCCAGGGACACCATCCAAGCATCCGGCTCCAACAAAAGCTGGACCTGGGACAGAGTGGTCATCTGAAACGAGGGGCAAGAAACCCAAGGGTTCAGATGGGACAAGTCCAGAATGAGCCACTGGTTCGCACAGCCCCGTTTCGGAACTGGGAACAGGCGAAAAACCTACCCGAGAGACGTCATCGTTTTGACCACACCCAAGCGCACCCACTCCAAGATGACCCGACAGAGTGCAGGAGAAGAAGCCTGCCCCGTCAGCCCCAAACCCCCCAAAGGAGGAGTCACCCAACACCACCGTAGGCCGAGAGAAACGACCCAAAAAGCCCACAAATCGTGAGACCAGGAGTGAGCGAACAGAGCAAGCCTCCCTCCCACCGCCGGGACAATGGGGCGAACCGTGAAAGGGCCGCTGCCCCTTACGAGAACCCGACCTGCCCGCAGAGCGAACACCGTGCCGACCAGGCACAGGTGGGACCACAGGTGGGACTGCAGGCTGCACCGGCACCGAACCCTGACTCCTATGGCAGACCCCGACAAACGGAACCGCGAGCCCTGGCATGACCCCGCTGGGAAAGAACCCCCCGGTTCCCCCGGAGCACCAACAATTCAGACATAGGGCGGCAAGTGGAAGAAGCTGCCTGAATATAACGCTCAACCGCAGAGGCCTCAAAAAGCAGAAGACAAAATGGAGAAGACAACCTAAGAACCAGGGCCCAAGCGGATTCCAAGGAGGAAGCGAGAACCGCCTGTCGACACTCGAAACGCACAGTGAAAAACCGCAGCAACGCCTCTCGCAGGATCGGCGCAAACAGCTTCAAACGAGCAGACGATGCACGAGCAGCCGAGACTAAGGCATCAGACTCAGGAATGGCTCCAAGCGCCTCTACATTCTCCGCAAGCCAATTCAACAACAGCTCCAGGAGGGAAAAGAAACGCAGGACCGAAGCTAAAAAAAAGCTGTGTCCTCGGCCACAAGCACAGCCAACAGGGAAAGAACCTGCACATGAAGCTGAACCGCACCAACATCCCGCAAAAAGACAGGAGCGAAAAGGCACTCATGAAGATGCTCAAAATCGCCCCCCAGGTAGACCTGGACCACCGTCAACGTTTCGCATCACTCAAACGTGCGGGTCCGAGAGAAAGAGTCCCAAGCATCCAACGAAAACAAGGGGCAATCTGCAAGCCAGGATGACCTTGGAACCTCATAATGCACCCAGTAAGGACATGACGATCCAAACCTGAATGAAGAAGGATCCATTATGGAGGCGTACTCCGGGTCACGCAGCAGGTAAGCCGAAATGGCCGACCGCACCTCAGGCGGCGAGATGCGGGAAGCCAAAAACCTCCGGAAAGATGGAACTGAGGAATCCACAGGGACACGGAACCGAACCCGGGAAGGAGCAGAACCCAAGTCCAAATTGTACGCAGAGGGGAGAAAAAGAAAACCCTCACTCCTAGCAACAGTAAGCCCTGCTCAGAAGGACGGAAAATCGAGGCGGGGTCCAATGGAGCCCAAGGCCCTCAAGTCAGCTCCTCCCCAACCCCGGGAACCTCCATTCCAGGCCCCGGGGCCGAGTCGTCCTCCAAAGGCCCCGGGGCCGAGTCGTCCTCCAAAGACCCGGCCTCACAAGAAAAAGCCGAAGCAGCCGAAAGAGCCGGAAGGGAAGGGGCCCACTGGTCAGACCCTTCGGCAGGAGGAACAGACTCGAATGCCTCTGCAGCCACCCCGGACGGGGCAACTCCCAAAACTGCCCGAGTCTCAGAAACCTTTAAACTCTGCCCCGACCCCGAAGCCCTCAGACGTTTTGGGGACAGAAGCAGTGGGGGAGGGGGGACCAAATGAACCACCGAAGGGGAAGAACAAGGGGCGCGGACAGAATCAAAGCCGAAGCGACCAACACCCCCAAGTCCGAGTCCTTAAAGGCAAAGCAGGGCAACCTCAGGGCATCCGGGGGAAGCGACAACCCGAGCCCGTTGCAATATCCTAAACCTACCCTGCAACGTGTGTGCTGCCTGCACCCGAAGAAAATCATCATCAGTCTGGGTGAATTGAGTCACGAACAAGCAACATAGCTCACAGGACTCAGGGTCAAATGTGTCACCAACCCAACAGGCAGCATGACGGAGGCAAAAACAATGAGTGTCGCCCTGAGACAAGGGGACAGAGCAATCATCAAACTCGCAAAAAGCGAGATGGGACGCAAGGGTCACCTCCATCGGATTCGAGAGCCCCGCGAGATTTTCCAGAGCCCCTAGACTGGGTCTGGTAAGGGTTATCCCAGGCAGGGCACTGCTAACCAGCGCCCCAAACTACCAAGCAAACAGCTAAAAGCTGAACCCACGGGACGTGTCCACTCACGAGGACGAAGTAGGGGGTGCCACCACACAAAACGACCCTAATATAAGGAGAGAGTGGGAGAACACAAGGCAGACCCCACCACCAGTCAAACACAAAGAAAAGAAAAACCAGGCAGTTGGACAACGTACCCAGAGGGAACAGAGCCAGCTGCTATTACAGGTGAAAACTAGCTACGCAGTACTCCGCGCCCCACCAGTGCAATAACTACCACTTACCCCGAGGCAAACAAGGGAGGAAAACCCCCCAAACACTCAGGGCGGCCAAACGCCAAGCAGCGAAAGGCCAACAGAGATAGACCCAAGGCGACTTGTGGAAGAGAACCCCAAGCCCTAAGGGTGGTACTTACAGGGCACTCAGGGAAGGAGACCCTAAGCACATGCAGCCCGGGTACTTGAGAATATTACTCCCAGCTCACACGACCACCATAAGAGCAGCACTGAAAACAATGAATATCACTGAGAGAAGACTGGAGCTGGAGTCACACGACCATGCACAATCCCATCAGCTGAGGAACTGGGGTGGGGATCGCCGGTGCGAGGGTCTGAGGCTACCCCTTCCCCCTCCTGGGAAGGGAGGAGCTGCGCAGACATGCGGCTCTCGTGACGTCATGCTTGTTTCCTCGTTTTTCTTTTGGGGAGTTCTGCTCATCCATTTGACGATTTTCGTTGTTAACCAGAATAGGGGTTTGTTTTGTGGCACTTACCTTTCTGGGTGCCTGTCCCAGTCGATGGCAGATATAGAATGTTTGAAATCACATGTGCTTTCTTTAGGCCATTGCTCCTCGTGCCTCTGTGAGGGGGGCCAGGTTCTGGCTCGTGGTCCCCAGTAGGCCTACAACTCCACCCACGTCGACTGATGCAAAATAGTTAGGGTATCCATATCAGTCAAGGACAGCTCTGGGAAGCTGTAGGGGCTCCCCCCAGAAAAAATGCAAAAAGTTTTTACCATATTTTTTCAGTTTACTATTTGATAAAACAAAAATATTGACTAAAAAACACGTCATTTTAATCTGAAACACCAATACTTCAATGTTCTATACAGTAATTCATTTCTCTGATGACCAATCATCAGAAAGAATGATATATAATTCAAGTACAACTTACCTGAAAGTGATCATAAGTTGACACCAAATGACGTGCAACCCCTTCTACGTATGGACCATCGTTTGGGTGTTCCCGAACCCGCAGAGCCTCACGGCACTCTGTTCCACTTCCTCCACTGGCCAATAAATCATATATGCGCTCATTGTATATTTCAATGTAACTAATTTCCACCTCAACACGACACTGTGGTAACTGAAACAAAAGGATATTTCATTAATTAATCTGCTAAGCCATTTTTCACATTAAAATACAGAACCTTGGTATTAAACTTGTATATATAAGGTATATTTAATGGTATTAAACCATTAAAACCTTGGTATTCACACGGCTCCCAATTCGCACTTTTCGGTATTCAGATGCTGCGTTCAAGATTGGTATTCGTCCATTTGCTCGGCACTCAGATGTAAACATGCATCCCTGAAGTGTCAGCTTAGCCAAAGCCGTCATTCAGTGCACAACCCACCACACTTTTCTCGTGGATATTTTTTTTTATTTTTAATATTCATAGTGTAAATAAGTGACCATGTCACTTAGGAAAGTTTGTGATATGGGCCAAGCAAAAGAAGAAAAATGGCAGGAACCATGATAGTTGATGACAGCCACTGTCATCAACTAAGATTCACCAAAAGTGTAAACAGTTGTACAGTATTATATTTTGCTTACCCATTGTTTCCAGTGAGAAATGGTTGAAGGATGATAAAATGGTGTCAGGGGAGGCAGGTTGCATCATTGGTGAGGGTTGGAGTCTGGGGGCAAGTGGTGTCAGTAGTTGGGGGTTTAGTGTCAGGAGGCAGGTGGAAGTTATTCTCATTGGGGGTTGTCAGAGAAAACCTGGTGGAGGAAGTTTTCAGGGAAGGCAGGTGGTGTCATGGGAGGCAGGCAGTGTCATGGGAGGCAGGAGGTGTCAGGGGAGGCAGGAGGTGTCAGGGGAGGCAGGTGTCAGGGGAGGCAGGAGGTGTCAGGGGAGGCAGGAGGTGTCAGGAGGTGTCAGGGGAGGCAGGTGGTGTCATGTGGTGGCAGGGGAGGCAGGAGGTGTCAGGGGAAGCAGGTGGTGTCATGTGGTGGCAGGGGAGGCAGGTGGTGTCAGGGGAGGCAGGTGGTGGCAGGGAAGGCAGGTGGTGGGCAGGGAAGGCAGGTGGTGGGCAGGGGAGGCAGATGGTATCAGGGGAAGCAGGTGGTGTCAGGGGAGGCAGTGGAGTCAGAAGAGGCAGGTGGTGTCAGGGGGAGGCAGGTGGTGGCAGGTAGTGTCAGGGGAGGCAGGTGGTGGCAGGTAGTGTCAGGGGAGGCAGGTGGTGGCAGATGTTGTCAGGGGTGTGAGGAGGGGGTCAGTGGGTGAGCTCTGGTTATTAGTTATCAGCTAGTTGGTAACACGTGGCTGGTGCCTCCATGCTTCCACATCGATAGTTCACTCACTCACTGCTTTTCACCAAATTAGCTGAGAAAATGTTACCATTATAGTTGTTTGTAACACATTGCTCTATCATATTCCATAGTCAAATTGAAGAATTTATAATAAATGGTGGTGTCAGTGGTGAGGGGAATGTATTAGGTGGGGGTGGAAAGGCGTCAGGGAACGGGAGGATGTGAGTGGAGACCTGTCTACCCACCAGTTATGGCGTCTGCTGACTCCCCACCACGTGCCTGCCTCGAACCTTTATTCAGTTTATGCTTTTCGCAAAATTAGGAGAGAAAATTTTACCAATTTTTTTATTTCAGTGGCGTATAACACATCGCTCTATCATATTCCTTAGTCAAAATGAAGAATACATAATAAATGGGTGTGTCAGTGGTGAGGGAGTTTTTTTTTTTTTTTTTGTCGGGCGTGTTAAATGAGATGCCTCCAACTCTGGCCTTCTCCCAGCTGCTGCCTCAATACACCCCATGGACGGTGTCAGTGGTGGTGGGGAAGGGGGGGGGGGGGACGGTGTCAGGGGGGGGGCAGTGGGGGGGGGGGGGGGGGGGGGGGGGGGGGGGGGGGGGGGCAGTGTCAGTGGGGGGGGGGGGGGGGGGGGGGGGGGCGGTGTCAGTGGGGGGGGGAGTCAGGGGGGGGTGTCAGTGGGGGGAGGGAGGTGTCAGTGGTGAGGGGGACGGTGTCAGAGAAATGACTGATGATGAAGAGCTGGCAGATTATTATCGACACCTAAAGGGCATGAAAGATATTATAATGAAGCAGCGTACAACGAAGAAACAAACTAAGATTCAAAAGTTTTTGGTACGGTTTCAGGAGACCGTAGACTACTGGTCCAATGCGAGACTCCAGAGAAGGGACACAGCGAGACTCTGAAAATGCCAACAGGCTGGGCAAACCAGGAAAACAGGAACCCAAACCTGGCAACAGGAGGGCCGAAAGCCACAAACAACACACACAACAGTGTGTAGGAGAAAACGAGAAAAAGGCCAGAAGAACAGCCCCAGCACCAGCGGCCAAGGACAAGAGTGAAGCAGGAAGATGAGGAATGAAGAAGGCATGCAGAAAATCGGGAACGAAAGGGACACGACCAACCCACAGTGCTGCAGACCATGACCCAACAAGTTATGCCAACAACATAGTCGCAGGCCCTGTCCCAACAAACCAACTGAAGAAGGTGCAAAGGTTTACCACCAGACTATTACCCGAACCGAGGGGTACGAGCAACGAAAACAGACTAATGAACACAAGCTATCTTGAGGTTATCTTGAGATGATTTCGGGGCTTTTAGTGTCCCCGCGGCCCGGTCCTCGACCAGGCCTCCACCCCCAGGAAGCAGCCCGTGACAGCTGACTAACACCCAGGTACCTATTTTACTGCTAGGTAACAGGGGCATAGGGTGAAAGAAACTCTGCCCATTGTTTCTCGCCGGCGCCTGGGATCGAACCCAGGACCACAGGAGTGGTCCTGGGGACCACTCACGCACCATGTGAAGTGCACATGCACCATGCGACACAGGCGGAAGGAGCACCCAAAGGAGCCAAAGAAATGCAAGAAAGAAACATTCCAGTGGCAGAGTAGTAAACAAATGGAATACATGAGGAAGGGAAGTGGTGGAGGCTGGCCCCACACATAGCCGCTAGTGAAGACATGACAGAGCCCAATATATGTCGGGGAAGCGACAAGGAAGAGGCAGGACGAAAGAGCCAAAGCTCAACCCCAGGAAACACAACCAGGGGCAGACAATTAGGTGAGGACAGAGAAACCAATGTACATGGAAGGGCCAAGCCAGGCACTCCACGATGGGAAAGGAATGAGGAATCCCAGATAAGACCATGAAAAATGCCACAATCAATCCTCAACAAGCATCCCCAGGCACAAAACTTTACCAAAATGTCACCCCACAACATCCTGACTCAGTAACAAGTACCATATGTTACTGTAGTACATGTTACTAATGCACATGTGAATGAGGCAGAGATGTGGTGGAGGCTTACACCAGACAGTTTCAAATGTAGATATGATCCCAGCAGAGCCCAGCAGGCCCAGGAACCTGCACACCAGGCGATTGACGGCCGAGAGGCAGGACCAAAGAGCCAGAGCTCAATCCCCGCAAGCACAACCAGGTGAGTATATGACCTGCACCTCAACCATCGCACCTCGTAACATGGATGAGGTGGGGTCCCTAGATCGACTCGAGCATGGGTTGGACATGCATACGAGTGGGACTGGATGGGTAGAAATAGTAGGTGCCACGTATGGGCCAACAGGCCCTCGCCAGTCACCGGTGTGCTGACAGGGATTTATTATATTCGTATCCAAAAACCACGAACCAGCGTTTGGCCGAATGAGACGCGAGACCGCAGAAACTCACCTGCCGAACGTAGGCACTAACGTGTTGCGACACAATGTGGCCGAGAAGATCCCAGGAGCACTGCCAGGGAAAGAAAGCCAGAGCTGCACATGCAGGAGAGCAGGGTAGAGGCAAAAGAGGAGCCCCACACCCATGACACAGGGAAAACCCCGGCGTCAACCCCATAGCTGCAATCCAGAACACCCTAGTAGCTACGGGCACGGACTGAAGAATGGAGAAGAGCAAGAGGCAAAGCACCCGAGAGAAAAGGACACAAAGCATCAGCACTGGTGCACACCACCCAGACCAAAACAAACTCCCACGGCACATGCACAGGACACCATGCCCGAACTGCACAACCGGCTCGGCGGGAAGGTGCCAACTAGGATTACTTTACAAGAAAAGTAGCCAAACAGTTCATGACCCGAGTGAACCACTAAGTAGAAGAACAGCCCAGCTCATGGGGAATAGGGGCCAAAAAAGGAGTAAGCAGCGACATACATAGCCGGCTTATGAAATGAATACAAAGAACCCAATCGGGAACCCAATTGGGCTACAAGTAGCCTAATCTGGCATCCCGGACTAGGAGTATGTAAACAAAACGAGCAGTGCCGAGACAGAGCACGGAGAGAAGAGACAGCAACAAAAGAATGAGACAGGACCGAAAACCAAGAATAAGCACAGAAGAGTGCCAACAAGCCCTAGAAAGTACCGGAGAGAAGCCACACCGAAAGACGACAGACATTCTAATAATACAGGAAGTAGCAAAAAACCTTCCTGAACACACAGAAGCAAGCGCAAGTCACAAAGGCACAGTCGCACCCGACACCAAAAGTCATGCAGAACCCCAAGAAGAGGGGAACATGATGAAGAAGTCCCGTCCCAAGAAAAAGGGGGGATAACGGAGATGAGCACCCACCGACAGGATGGAATCTACTGACTCAAGGGACAAGGAACTGAGCCCGGGAAAGGGCCGACGCCCAACAACTCGTACGGAGAGGGGGGAGAGGAAAACCCCACTCCGCGTAACCGCAAGTCCCGCCCAGAGGGGTAGAAAAACCCCGGCAGGGTCCAACGGGGCCCTAGACCCCCCAAACCAGCCCTGGGGCCAAGACAAGACCCAAAGCCCCGGCCTCACAGGAAAAAATTGTGGCAACCGCGAAAATATTAAGGAAGGGAGCCCACTGGCAGACTCATACAACACGGCTGGAGGAACAGGCTCAAATGCCCCCATCGCTACCTACCCCAGAAGGGGAATTTCCCGAGAAAGCCAGAGTCTCAAAACCAACGAAGCCCCGCCCCGACCCGACCCTGAACCCACAGATGGTAAGGATCCGGATGCAGGGAGGAAGGGGGACACCAGACTAGACCAAAACAGGGAAAAGACAAGGGGGTGTGGAAGGAACCGAAGCAACCAACACCCCCCCAAGC